GATGGATTTTCCATGGAATGTGGGTGAAAATTGGGATTTGGGGTGGATTCCCCATGGAATGTGGGTGGGAATTTGGGGCTGGATTTTCCATGGAATGTGGGAGAAAATTGGGAATTTGGGGCTGGATTTTCCATGGAAGGGTGGGAGTTGGAGGGGGAGCTTTGGGGTCCCCATCCTTGGAAGGAGCTCTGGGGCTGGGACAGGGTGGGAGCAGAGCTGGGTTGGTGATCCTGGAGGGATTTTCCAGCCTCAGTTTCCCTGGGATTCTGGCGTTCTGATCCCAGTTTCCCTAAGATTCTGGGGTTCTGATTATATTATATATATGTTATATATATGTTATATATATTCTATGTAATATAATAGAAATTACATTCTATTATATTATATTGTATTACATTATATTATATTACATGACATCACATTACATTATATCATATATTACATTACATTATATTATATTATACTATACTATATGATACTATATTATATTATACTATATTGTATTATGCTGTATTATATTACATTATATTACATTATATTATAGTATAGTATATATGTTATATATATTTTATGTAATATAATAGAAATTATATTATATTATATTACATGACATCACATTACATTATATTATATTAATATATAATACATGTTATATTATATATATATTCTATACAATATAATAGAATATGTATTATATTACATTATGTTACATAACATTATATATTATATAATATATAATATATTATATATATTCTGTATACTATAATAGAATTTATATTATGTTATAATTTATTTTATTATATATTGCATTACATTACATTATACTATACTATACTAGATTATACTAGATTATACTATATCATATCATGTTATATTATATCATGTTTTATTTTGTTATATTACTAAAGAAAGAGAAAGGAGACATCAGAAAGTTTAACACTATAAATATATAAATAAATAACAAAATAATAATAAAAACCCATGACTGACCAGAGTCCCAACACAGCTGGCCTGGGATTGGTCATTAATTAAACACAATTCACACGGAACCAATTAAAAATACTCCTGTTGTAAATGACCTCCAGCCCACATTCCAGGCAATCAGATAATTAATTATTGTTTGCATTTCTTTTCTGAGGCTTCTCAGGAGAAGAATCCTGGCGAAGGGAATTTTCAGCAAATGTCCCAGTGACAGCTGTGGGGTTTCATCCCTGTGTGATTGAATTCCTTGTGGAAAATTTTCAATTTTCAAACTGAAAATTTTCTCAATTTTCCCTTGCCTGGTTCCTGCAGGATCAGCCTGCAGAGGGGAAAGGCTCCAATTGTGAGGGAACCCTTTGGAAAGGGATTTCAGGAAAAGCACCTGGGGACCCTGTTAGATAAAAAAAATCTCAAATAAAGACAGAGTGATCATGAAAAGTACATTTCAGATAACTGGGGAAAATAAAAATATTTCACTCTGTGGCTCTGTGGGCATTTGAAGCTTCAGCTTTTCCTTGCTGGATGTTGGCTGCTCCACATTGCAGAGCTGGGAATTCCCTGCAGCTTCTCAGGGCAAAGGAAAAAGGGGGATGGTGGAAAATTTATTTTGGGTCTGCATTATCAATTTGGGATATAATTAATTTATAATTTCCTAGGATTCCCTGTTAAATTCTCTGGGTGTATTTTTTCAATCCCATGCTTGGTGTTCTCTGGGTACCCATTCCCTGTTTGATGTCCTGAAAATCTGGGAGATTTTGGCTTCCCTGTGGATTTGTAAAATTTTTATTATTATTTTTATTTTTATTTCATTTATTTCCTGTTTGTTTTCTTTTCAACCTTTGCTCTCTCCTTTTCTCTGGCTCATCTTTAGCTGTGATCCCTGGAGCCACTGCAGGTCATCCTTAAATCTGGGNTTTTAATATAGATGATAAGGAGAGGCAGAATTTTTAATGTACATCTTAATGAAATGCAGATTTTTAAAAATCTACACATTAATGAAATGCAGAATTTTAAATGTACATGTTAATAAAATGCAGAAGTTTTTAATGTGCATCTTAATGAAATCCAGATTTTTTAAAAATCTACACAGTTATTACTTGCAGAATTTTTAATGTACACATGAATAAAATTCAAATTTTTAAATGTACACATGAATAAAATTCAGATTTTTTTTTTTTTTGCTTTTTCATTTCATGAATTGGGAAAATCCAAGAATGAAATAAAAACCAGCACAAAAAAACCTGCTTTTATTTCAGTATTATAATAATCTGTATTTATTTTGTTCTTGGGTAACCCCAATCCTGTTAAAGAATAATTCAAATTTCATTTGGAAAACTGAAGCAACATTTGCCAATCCTGTGCCTTCATTTTCTTTTCTGTTTCAGAATAATGAAATCAAAGTTAAAAATAAAAACAGGAAGAAGAATTTGAAAGATTCAAAGGTCAGTAACTTCGGACCAAGCAGGTGCCATTTATTTATTGCTAAAAACCCACCTGAAATTAGGATTTTTTTAGAATTTCTGGCATTCAGGTGGATGGGAGCTGTTTTTGTAAATACTGAAGTGGCTTTTCCTGAAGTAAAATTAAGCTGTTAATATTGAAATTATATTGAATTTAATATTGAAATATTGAATATTGAAATAATATTGAAATTATACCATTTTGTTACAATTTATCACTATAAAAGCAAATTTTAAATTTATTTATGACTCACTTTGGCTCTGAATGGAAGCACCTTCCATTGGCTTAATTCTGTTGTGATTTTAATTTTCCATGTGGGAAGATGAGAATTGGGTTCCAAAATTCCATTTCATGCTCAGGAATGTTATTAATTATTGATTATTTTATAGAGTTTATTGGAATATTATTCTGCCTGAATTTTCTGCTGCCTTTTGGAGGATTTTGCTTTATTGAAAACCTCATGCCCTCACCTCTTTATCAATTTTCTAGAATTTCAAGAGTAAACTTCAGATTTTTTTCCTTAGGATTTATTATTCTGACTAGAGTGCATTTATTTGTGTATTTCTAAATTATTAGATAATAAAAATAAAGACAACTAAAATGTCTATAATGGTACAGACAGATATAATAATAACCAGAGTGACACGTGGAATTAGAGATAATTCCTGTTTGTGGTAAATTTAAAAGAAAGTGAATTAAATTTTGATAAAATTGGTTAAAAAAAGAGGGATCTGGGGCTGAATATCCCAATTTCTTTTTCCCAAATAAGTTCTGAAGAAGGAATTAATATCTTTAAATTAAGAATTAATTAAGCTGGGACTCAGCACTGATAATTTTACCTGGAAATTTTGCAGTTCATAATGAAGATGATGAATTTAAAGAACAAAATTCATTATAAATAAGTTACTCCTGGTCTTTGCAGTGGATTGTTTTACACGAGTTTTTGTGAGGTGAAAACTAAAATAAATCTGGTTTTAATTAGTCTATTTTAGTATTATCCAGTGGAATTAGTACAGCACCACGAGAAGAAGAGAAGATATTTATAGAAGAAAATAATGTGTGAGTATTTGATGATTTATTTATTTATCATTTATTTATTTGATATTTATTGCCCAAACTCCAAACTGCAGGAGGAGAATCCCTTAAAAACACCAAGGCTGGGTTAACTTGATTTTTTATTTTTTTTTTCTCTGATTTTTAAGATACAGAGATTTTCCAAATGAAAATCCCTTTGGAGTCCCAGAACATCTCCAGGATCAACTGGAGGAATTCGAAGCTCGTTATAATATTGCAAATAATAACAATTATCAGATTAATAATAATAATAATCCAGATCCAATCTCTGAGAATTTATATGAGTGAGTATCAATTTCTGTGTTTGGGAGCTTCAGGGGGTTGAATTTTACTTCATAATTTTAATAATTTTTGGGATTAATTGGAATCCTGGTGGGTGTGGTGTGATCCAATCTCAGAATTTATATGAGTGAGTATCAATTTCTGTGTTTGGGAGCTTCAGGGGGTTGAATTTTACTTCATAATTTTAATGATTTTTGGGATTAATTTGGAATCCTGGTGGGTGTGGTGTGATCCAATCTTTAAATGAGTATCAATTTCTGTGTTTGGAAGCTTCAGGGGGTTGAATTTTACTTTATAATTTTAATAATTTTTGGGATTAATTGGAATCCTGGTGGGTGTGGTGTGATCCAATCTTTAAGAATTTAAATGAGTGAGTATAAATTTCTGTGTTTAGGAGCTTGAGGGGGTCAAATTTTACTTCATAATTTTAGTAATTTTTGGGATTAATTGGAATCCTGGTGGGTGTGGTGTGATCCAATCTCTGAGAATTTAAATGAGTATCAATTTCTGTGTTTGGGAGCTTCAGGGGGTTGAATTTTATTTCATAATTTTAATGATTTTTGGGATTCATTTGGAATCCTGGTGGGTGTGGTGTGATCCAATCTCAGAATTTATATGAGTGAGTATCAATTTCTGTGTTTGGGAGCTTCGGGGGGTTGAATTTTACTTCATAATTTTAGTAATTTTTGGGATTAATTGGAATCATGCTGGGTGTGGTGTGATCCAATCTCTGAGAATTTAAATGAGTATCAATTTCTGTGTTTGGGAGCTTCAGGGGGTTGAATTTTACTTCGTAATTTTAATAATTTTTGGGATTAATTGGAATCCTGGTGGGTGTGGTGTGATCCAATCTCTGAGAATTTAAATGAGTATCAATTTCTGTGTTTGGGAGCTTCGGGGGGTTGAATTTTACTTCGTAATTTTAATGATTTTTGGGATTAATTTGGAATCCTGGTGGGTGTGGTGTGATCCAATCTCAGAATTTATATGAGTGAGTATAAATTTCTGTGTTTGGGAGCTTCAGGGGTCGAATTTTACTTCATAATTTTAATAATTTTTGGGATTAATTGGAATCCTGGTGGGTGTGGTGTGATCCAGTCTCTGAGAATTTAAATGAGTATCAATTTCTGTGTTTGGGAGCTTCGGGGGGTTGAATTTTACTTCATAATTTTAGTAATTTTTGGGATTAATTGGAATCCTGGTGGGTGTGGCGTGTGTGTGAGGGAGCGGATTAAACGGGTCAAAGGAATGGATGGAAAAACTTGAATTAATTATAATAATTTTTTTTTTTTTTAAAGTTATTTCTCTCAAATCTTGGAAGAACATGGCCCTCTGGAAATTAATAATAAATTGCTGATTGGGGAATATGAGAATTTCCCTGAGGAGACGCGGAAGGTGGTGGAAGACCGGGGCGGCCTGGAGGCCTTCCTGCTGAAATCCCTGCGCTTCCTCATGGTGGATAATCTGATAGGCCTGCAGAAGCACTCGGCCCTTTTTGAGGGAGATCCGAGCAGAAATGAGAATAAAGATAAAAATCCCACACCTGGGCAGTGCCAGGGGAACCCTGCCCACACCAAGCTGCCCCTCAACCCCTATGCCCAGGAGTTCAAACCTCTCTCGTACCCCGTGGAGGCCCCTGTGGCAGCAGCTCCTGATTTATCCGATTATCACACCCCACAATATTTCCCCTGCTCCTTCCCTGCTCCCTGCACTCCTGGAAATCCTCTAGAAAACGAAAATATTGATTCCATGGAAAGCCAGGCTCCGTTTTCAGGTGTTTTACTGGAAGGCTTCCAGCCTGCAGGCCCGGCTGTGTTTTTACCTCAGAGCTCCTGGGGTTATCAGTATGGAATCTTGCCCCTGGCACAGGCTGGGCTCATTTATGCTGATCCTGCAGCTCCTGGGGAACACCTGCACTCAGCAATCCCCAGCCCGGAGCTCTTTGTGCCAGCTGAAATCCAGCAGTGCAAAGGCCCCTGGGGCCAAGTGGAGAACTCGGATAAAAAGGATTCTGCTTTATCAAATGGCTCAGGTGAAGCTGAGGGTGATAAATGTGTTAAAAAGGAAAAAGGAAAGAAGAATAAAGGCGGGGTGAAGAGCAATCCTCACACAAGGATGGTGGCAGTGCAGGTAAGGTGTGGGGAAAACGCTGGGGGGATTTTATTGGTTGTATTTGATAGGAGCAGCTGGGACAGTGGGAGGGGTCCCTGCCATGGCAGGGCTGGCACTGGGTGATCCCTAAAACCCCTCCCAGCCCAACCCACTCTGGCATTCTGGGATTCTCTGGCTGCTTTTCTGTCTGAGCCTGCGATTCCTTCTCCCCTCTGAGCACTTTGCTCCCCCTGTGCCCAATCCCCACACGGGCAAACCTCGTGCCGTGGCTGGTGTGGGTTTGGCCCATCCCATTCCTGGCCTGGGGAACTTGGGAAAATCCCTTGGAGAGCTGGATTGTGCCTCAGTCCCTGTCCCTCTGGCAGTGCCAGCACCCAGGGAATGGCTGCCGGTGCCAGAGGGCAGGGATGGGTGGGAATTGGGGAAAAATCCTTCCCTGGCAGGGTGGGGATGCCCAGAGCAGCTGGGGCTGCCCCTGATCCCTGGCAGTGCCCAAGGCCAGGCTGGNAAATCTTGCCAGTTTTGTGGTTTTAAATGGGAATATTTTGACTTTTCCAGGAGCTGGCCATGATTTATACGCCGGCGACCAAATCCTGCAGCACCTGCGGCGCAATGCCGAGAAGATCAAAGCTGCTGTGCCCGACCCTGCTGGGTTACTGAGGGAGCTGCTGGCCTGGGGGGTGATGGCAGAGCAGGATTTCAGCTCCTCTTCCCAAATCCACGATTACCAGGAGGTGCTGGAGCGGCTGCTGAGCTCCCTGGTGCAGGAGAGGAGCCGGGTGCGGAGCCGCGGCTTCCTGCACGTGCTGAGCCGGAGCGGAGGGGTGGAGGGCAAAGTGCACAAGTGGCTGCAGCACCTGGATCACCGGGGTGGGTTCTGGGCACGGGAAATTCTCATTTTTCCTCCTTAGTAAAACTTCTCCTCTTTGTCCTGTCCCTGGTTTCCAGAGGGGAACTCAACCCGGGTGACCCAGGGGCTCGGCAGGGATTTGGTGGGCAATATTCCAGAATGGGTCTAAAAATTCAAAAATTTTTAAATGGTCTTAAAATTCCAGCATGGGTTTAAATGATGGTGTTTGTAGCAATAATCTGGTTTTGGAGAGTGAATAATGGTGGGGTTTTGCCATGAAACTTGGAAGGAATTTTGTGTTGGTGCTCTGCAGTTTCATGTTGGGTTCTGAGCACAGGAAATTCTCATTTTTCCTCATTTAAAACTGCACAGTAAAACTTCTCCTCTTTGTCCTGTCCCTGATTTCCAGAGGGGAACAAAACCAGGGTGGCTGAGGAGCTCAGCAGAGAAAATTCAAAAATTTTAAAGTGGTCTTAAAATTCCAGAATGGGTCTAAAAATTCAAAAATGTTTAAATGGCCTTAAAATTCCAGAATGGGTTTAAATGCTGGTGTTTGTAGCAATAATCTGGTTTTGGAGAGTGAATAATGGTGGGGTTTTGCCATTAAAATTGGAAAAGTTTCATGGTGGGTTGGTTTACGAGGTGGATGCCAAAGTGCACAAGTGGCTGCAGCACCTGGATCACCTGGGTGGGTTCTGAGCACAGGAAATTCTCATTTTTCTTCCTTAGTAAAACTTCTCCTCTTTGTCCTTTCCCTGGTTTCCAGAGGGGAACTCAACCTAGGTGGCTCAGG